AAATTATAGATTTTTTACTCTTGTACCGCGCTTCGAGCCTTTGGGGATGAAGCGTGTTTTTGAAATACACTTTATTATTATTATTATTTTACACACCAGTATATATTGGTTAGGGAAATTGTTTGGGAATATGGAAGTGATTTCTGGTCACAACATAAAATAGATCTTGATTTTTTGTTGTACCAAAGTTTACAGGTGTTAACTATACAAAAGCTATAACCTCAACAAAAGAAAATTAGTTAACAACACAAAATATATACTAACAACACAAACATATATTATGATAATTATAAGTACAAGAATAACATTATTAACATTGCATTGGAATGTATTTCCTGAATTAGTCAGTAAAACCAACCACATAGTCATAGCAACATATAAAAACCTAATCAATAAAAATACAGAACTAGACTTAAACCATGGAAATGCCTTAATTAAGGGCATAATCATCTTCTTAGTCTGACTCTAAGAAATTTAGACTTTGACTTATAATATATATAAGATACAAGCAATAATACTAACAATAACACTAATACTATTACTATCATTCAATATTAATTAAAATTAATTCAATTAAAATTTACGTTAAACACATTAAAAGTTATAGTGCAAAACAACCCATAATGCAGCTAATTACGCATAATACTTTTTAAAAAAATTGCCAAACTAGCAGTAATAAACCTTATTTGGCCAAATTCCCAGCCAATTGGCTGGGAATAACTATCAGGGTTATGCCATGCGCAGCCGACTACGTATAACTTATAACTACTATAACGCTTTCCTTACCCAAATTTGACATTGCAGGGAAAAAAAATCATGCAGTGTTTCAGTGTAATGGAATCTGTACTGAACACTCAATACAAAGTTTATAAATGAAACTATTTACAATAAGAACAATATTTTATGTGGTTTAACTTTTTTGTTACTTTTACTGTTTTACTACACTACTTTAACTTTAATTTTTAATTTGTACAACACTTGACTGGCCTAGCCCTAGAGGAGCGGGCTATGGGTTGGTAACCGGATTTAATGAAAATTTTGAGTGTCTTCTTTTTCATCTGAAGACATATGGTAACACTAAGTCTAATTAATAAGTTAACAATAAGTATTAGTCATGATCATGATGAGATGATCCTATCCGATCCTGGAGCCTGGAAATCGATGATGAAATAAATCATTGCTACATAATTATATTACAGAACACTCGGCGTATTTTTTTTTACATTTTTAAGTAAATTGTTATTCATTGACATTATTTATGTAGATATTCAAGAAAAAAATTTACCTTATTTAAATTCCCCAATAAACCGGTAGATCTTTTTGTACATGTCATGAAAATATTTCTTGGGCACTTGCTGCTACGTTTGTTGATGCAGCCGACTATTATGCATAATTTATTGTTTCCGTTTGCTACACCAACAACCGCCGAGAACCGCACACTTACGCAATTTACCGAACATCTTTTTTTTTTTTAATGTGTCGGGGGGGGGGGGGGGATATCCTCCCAGAGCCAAGTGGACTGAAACGCGAAATAATTAGATGATTATGTTTATTTAATGTTATTTATATAATTTTATATCAGAAACATAGATTCAAGGTTATCTTTAAATATTTTGTTTTATATAATCAAGTTTTTTTTTTTCTTCTCTAATTTCTGTACCACTCATACAGTGGCGACGCTACAACAGGTCCCGCCGGGTCCCAGGACCTGGTAAAAAAATTTGGGACCTGGCAAATGACCTGGTAAATTTTTATTAGTTACTAATATTGTATATATGCTCATTAAGCGTAAACTACATTACATGTAAGAGAACTTCCATTTTAAATGCCTTTATATGTTTAAATTGTTATCGACAACAAAAGTCAATAATGGGTTAAGTTAGTAGATTAATAAATATTACTTAATAAATACATTTTATTTTTAATACATTTATTTGGGACCCGCCAAATGTTTTTAAGATCTGCAAGGGACCCGCCATGTTAAATTTGATGGCGTCGCCACTGCACTCATAATATGACACTGCTACATGTTTTGAAGAAGAAGAAAATAAGAGGTTTGGGTGTGGGTTGGCCGGGGGGGGGGATGAGGGGGTTGGGGGAGTTGTTGGAGGGTGGATGGGTTCGCTTGTCAGTCAGGAGTTAGGACTGTAATACTGCAAAAGCTTTATGTTATTTAATTATGTAATGTTATTCATAAAAAACCTAATACTTCTCTTAATTACAGGATTTGCACGAAATATCCACTACAAAATCAAATGCATTTGTTTTGCATTAAAAGCATGCTTTAGGGTAGTGGTTCTCAAAATTGGCGGTGAACCCACAAGAACGGTGGGATGTCGTTGGGGGCGGTAAAATGCTATGTAGATTTAGGATTATTTCAGAAATAAAAATTATATAAAATTTGTAAGGAAAATGTTTTATGATTATGAGTTTCTTGTCGATATCAACCTTTATTAAACAACCCCTAAAAACAAAGTTTTCATTAAAATTCTTTATAAAACGGGGGTTGGAGATAAAAATTTGATAAAACATGCATAAAAATAAAGGAACTTTATAATAATCCCAATTAGTTCCCTCGCCCCCCCCCCCCCAATTCAAGGCTGGCAACCGCGATTGTTTTTCACGCCACTGAAATTTATTAACATTCTAATGATCCTCCCACTTTTACACCGCAGATTTCATAAAAAACAAAATAAAATATTACGCACCAAACGCACTTGTGATTTTTGTTCTTAAAGAATCTTTTTTAGCGCAGTTATTTGGGAATTTTATTTCCTGGAATCAAATTTCCTTCATCTTCCCCTTGAAAAACATGAAAACGGGAAAAACGGCTTTTTGTGGGTTGGAAGTAGGACTGAAAATTTGATAAATGCTACCCCATTTAAAAAAAAAAAAAAAAAAAAAAAAAAAAAAAAAAAAAAAAAAAAAAAAAAAAA